AGACATTGGATAACCCCTCCCAATGGTTTTGTGTATATGTTAAATATTACGGAGGATCAATTCAGAGCCCAGGGAGTCCCCACAGGCCAATGCCCATGACATCAGACAGATCTTGGAGATGGCTGGGAATGAATTTGTACAGCTAGAAATGGTGCACCAACTGCTTCCTTTCCTGGAATCTCTGATTTGCGCATGCTGAAACATGCCTTCATTACATCCCACTAGAATTAGTATAACACACCGTGTGGGGCTGCCTTAAAAGATGGCTTGGAATGCTGCAAAAAATACTGCGATAAGGCTACAGAGTGGGTTAAGTCACAGAAAGTGTACAAGTTCCATGTTAAAACATCTTCACTGGCTTACTGTCTGTTTTCAGTTCCAATTCAAAGTGCTCATTTTGACCTATAAATTCCTATATAGGTCCAGGCTATCTGAAGAACAAATTTAGAAGGTAGCGCTGAAGAATTTACTTTTTGCAGTCATATTGGCCTTTAACAATCTGTATCAACCTGAAGCACCTAAGTTGAATGACACTGTGCACATACATTGGTGGCAAAAGAATAATAATTTATGAGCTGTCAACACAGCTGTGAAATAAAGCATCAGACAGGCTTTAGCCCATGCTTGGTCAGTGTAATCCTGATCTTGATCATACTATCACACTCAAATAGAGGAGGAAGAACATAATTGAGGAAAGGGCTTCAGAGCCTGGAGAGAGAATACTCTGACGAGGTTTGAAAGTGATGCAGCACTACACCACTAAACTAAATACTGACAAAACCATGGTCTCTTTTGATGTCACATCCTTCTTCACCAACATTCCCACTCCTGATGTCCTAACAACTGTAAAAAGGAGACTGGAAAAAGACAGCACTCTCTCCACCAGAAGCAGCCTCAACCCAGCCCAGATATGCCTGTTCCTGAACCTTTGTCTGAAAAACACTTTCTTCACCTACAGAGGTGGACATCTGAGGACAGCCCTTAAGGCCTGTGGATATCCAAAATGGGCCTTTAACAAGGCAATGTTCTGACCCAGGAGGACAATGGAACAGTCTGAGACGCAGAGCCAACAGAAAAACCTGGTCATTCTTACATGCACGGTGTGTCTGAAGAGCTCAAAAGGATTTTTGGTAAGCACCACATACCCATGCACTTCAAACCCACAAATACACTAAGGCAGAGACTCGTCCACCCAAAAGACCGTCCACCAAAACACAACAGGATCAATATACTGTATGCAGTTCAATGCAAAGAGAAGTGTTCAGAGCTCTATGCTGGAGAAACCAAACAGCCACAAAACAGGAAAATGGCCCAGAATGGGAGAGGCAATGGCTCAGGACCACTATCAGCATTTTTCCTTCATTTGAAGGACAAAGGACCCTCATTTGATAACCAGGATGTACTCATTTTAGATGGAGAAGATAAATGGTTTGAGAGAGAGGGATCAGGGAGGCCATACATGTGCATATAGAAAATCCCTCACTCATCAGGGTAGAGGCCTTAGATACAATCTCTCCTGTTTACCATGCTGCCCTTTCATCTGTCCCCAGAAGGATTAAGGTCACAGACAAGAAAGATCACTATTAATGACCATCAACAACCCATGACAATGGGTAAAGAAGGACTGCAGAAATTGGATTATCCCTCATCCTCAGTCCTTGTACTGTACTTCTAAGGAGCCTATTCAGACCAGGGGGAAGTGAAACCAATGAGGAGAATGTATCAGGGATTTCCTATCAACACTTGGTAGGAACTGAAGAAGCTGCTTGGATGAGTAACAAAATGTTTCAACCTAACAAGAAAGAAGTCCAGTTGCCATGACTCAACTTCCAGATAATTACACCTGGATGACTGAGAATCTTCACAGATATATACCAGAACTGTTCCTCCATTCTCAACTGGTCTGCCTATTTGAAATTTGGGAGCTCAGAACCTTGTAAAGAATGTATTCTCTATGACCTAAAGGCCTATTCCATTTTTTCTGTTGATGACTAATTTAAGCGGAAATTCTGTTCTGTACATGCACCATCTCTGACACCCTCTCTCTAGATGTCGAGCTGGATAAACGCATTGGGAAAGCAGCCACCATGTTCTCTAGACTCACAAAGAGAGTCTGGCTCAATAAGAAACTGACAACACATACCAAGATCCAGGTCTATAGAGCCTGTGTCCTGAGCACACTCCTGTACTGCAGCGAGTCCTGGACCCTTTGTGCCCGGCAGGAGAGGAAGCTGAACACCTTCCATATGCGTTGCCTACGACGGATTTTTGGTATCACCTGGCAGGACAGAGTTCCAAATAGAGTAGTCCTAGAACGAGCTGGAATTTTCAGCATGCATACATTACTGAAACAGCGACGTCTACGCTGGCTTGGGCACGTTGTGAGAATGGCTGATGGTCGGATTCCAAAGGATCTCCTATATGGAGAATTAGTGCAGGGAAATCGCCCCAGAGGGAGACCACAGCTGCGATACAAGGACATCTGCAAGCGGGATCTGAAGGCCTTAGGAATAGACCTCAACAGATGGGAAACTCTGACATCTGATCGTTCAGCCTGGAGGCAGGCAGTACCTCACGGCCTCTCCCAATTTGAAGAGACCCTTGTCCAGCAGGCCGAGGCAAAGAGGAAGTCACAAAGGAAGCAAAACCAGGGAGCTGTACAGGGGACAGATTGGATTTGTCTTCAGTGTGGAAGAGATTGTAACTCTCGAATTGGCCTCCTCAGCCACACTAGACGCTGTTCCAAGTCCTCCATACAGAGCACGCTACCATAGTCTTTCGAGATTGAAGGATGCCTACTATTATTGTTAGCCGCCTAGAGTGGTCCTGACACAACCAGATAGGCGGGATGTAAAATAAATAAATAAATAAATAAATAATGGTGACAGCAGCCCCAAAATTAAAAGATGCCTGCTTCTATGAAAGAAAGCAATGACAAACAGCAGCAGAGCTGCCCGAGGGCTCCCTGCGGGGGTTCAGGATCATCCTCATCATCACCTCTCTCTCTCTCCTCTTTCTTTCTCTTTCTCTCTCTCTCTTAAAAAGCAGAGACATCACCTTGCCGACAAAGATCCTCATAGTCAAAGCTATGGTTTTTCCAGTAGCAATGTATGGAAGTGAGAGCTGGACCATCAAGAAAGCTAACTGCTGAAGAATTGATGCTTTTGAACTGTGGTGCTGGCGGAGACTCTGGGGAGTCCCCTGGACTGCATGGAGAACAAACCTATTTATTCTGAAAGAAATCAACCCTGAGTGCTCACTGGAAGGACAGATCCTGAAGCTGAGGCTCCAGTACTTTGGCCATCTCATGAGAAGAGAAGACTCCCTGGAAAAGACCTTAATGTTAGGAAAGTGTGAGGGCAAGAGGAGAAGGGGATGATGTAGGATGAGATGTTTGGACAGGATCACTGACATGACTTTGACTCAACTCCGGGAGGCAGTGGAAGACAGGAGGGCCTGGCGTGCTCTGGTCCATGGGGTCACGAAGAGTCAGAGATGACTTCACGACTAAACAACAACAACAGTATTTGCTAACTCATTGTAGTTAGCTTTAAATACTGTCTTTTTAATGACGTAAGCTGCCCTGGGTCTTTATTTAGCCGAATGGTGTGGTAAAAAATATTTTAAATAGATAAATATCATGTCACAGGAAGACAGGGCAGCATCCCGGCTCAAGGGTGGTCAAGATAGCCCATCCAGAGCACAGGATCCGGCCCCACCACCCACCCAATGGCCCCTGGACAGACAATCAGTGCAGGGAGAAAGACAAAGAAGAGGAATCCCTGCTTTGGGGATCCCGCTGAGGAAGGCAAAGGGATCCTTACCCAGAGAGAAGCTTCTTCCTGAAATTCTCCAGGGGGATCTCCTTCTGCGGAGCCCTCTCGCCTTGATTGTGGACGGCCTGCGCTCCTGCCCGCAAGTGCACCCCTGCGCCTGGAAACGACCCAGGAATCTGTAAAAGGAAAAAGAGAAATTGGAGGGCCAAACCCCAACTCCCGTTTCTTGGGTAGCCTGTTAGAGGGAAGCCCCAAAACCCACGCTGAGTACCGCCATTCTTAAAGGACAGCATTCCCTGGGAAATCCCAATGGGAAAAACTGACATTGAAGGTCCCTTTTCTCCGATTTCCAAGGAGGAGCCACTCAAACCTGCTGGTGAGGGAGAATTGGTTTCGCCATTTATCTCCGTCTCTGGAAAGAGAAATAGGGCTCCCGTTGGCCTTGCTCTCCCACTCTGCCCCAAATTATTTCTTTACTCAGAGACGTTAGAAATCTTCGGTTTTGGGGAAGGGGGTGAAATGAAAAAAAGAACAAAAGCAGTAGAAAAAAGGGAGGAGAAGGAGAGAAAGATGAGGCCTCTCTGGGCTTCTGTCTCCAGCCAGGTCGGCTCCTTCTCCTCCTTCGCTGCTCCTGGCCTCTCCTCCTGGCCTCGAGGAGCCCCTTCCCCAATCCTGGATGGTCAAAAGGGCATGTATTGGACCCCTCCCCAGGACCACGAAAGAGGCCACCTCTCCCCACCCCTTGGCACATCTTCTCCTCCCTGCACATTCCTGGGGGGGGGGCTTCTTCTCTTCCTCCTCCTCCTCATCTTCTCCTGACTTTCCCTTTCCTACAGCCTACTCAAGAGGAGGAGGGGGCCAGTCCCCCAGTTTCCCTTTCTTGACTCTTCTTT